GGAGCTAAGCCTTCATGGTTGATTTCGAAGAGCGAGAGAGAGAGAGAGAAGGAAAAAAATGAGAGACTTGCAAAATTTTTTTTTTTCTCTCTTTTATTTTCTATGCGTTGTTTCTTTTGGTTATTTTCTTTTGCTAGTCTCTGCTGTGGAGAGAAAGAGAGAGAGAGTAGAATAGAAAACTACTTGGGAATACTAGTATGAGCTTTTAGAGAAGAGGGGAGGGTCCATTTGAAGGCAGGAGTCGTGGTCTTCCTCCACGCGCAAGTAGGAAGGGGTTTTGGGTTGTGGTTGGGATTACCGTAGTTTGTAATTATGAAGCTTCGGTGCTGTGTGTATATGTATTGCACCCTGAGTTCTTATTACATGCATCATGTCCTAAGGTTTTACTATTCCTCAACTCTTTCTTAAAGTTAACAATAATATGTCATTGATGTACACACTTGATAGAAAATTTTCCATGCGATTACCATCGATTTTTGGTAAATTTTGATTGCTTGTTCCGTTAAATATTAACAATTGGACTGGATTAGGATATGTGTAGAAGTTTAAAGTTTTGTGACATCTTATATCAAAGATTTAGGTTGCTACATAAAAAATGAGAATTTTATAGGTATGGAGTGAAAATTGAAACTTTTATATGGATTGTCAAATAGTAATGGCTATTGAATGATACATGCACTTGAGCCACATTTAATGTTATTGTTCAAATAGTTTGTTGTTCAGCAATTATTTCCTTGAAATTTATTTTACCTATTGTAGTTATGAAATTGACGGGACAAAATAGGCAAAATATATGAATTTTTCACAAGAAAAGAAAATTATATTAATTGTCTTTTAGCGACTGCACACACGCAAGTTTAAATGGAATGAAATAACAATGAACTAATTGAAAAATCTAAACACAACGCCTATATTTGTTGTATTAGTACTAATCCTCCTCCAAAAAAACATCGACGTCCGAATAAAATTCTTGATAAAATATTAACTTTTGCTCGATATTTTATACTACACTCATGTATTCTTTACAATGTACCCAATAATGACCGAACATCTATTATAGCACGTATACACGTGACAGCCAGCAAAATTTTCAACTTAAACTTATATGAATAACTTAGCAAGGCACTTCTGAAATTGACGTTGTTCATCACATTCAGATGCCTGTTATTGTTTAGTTAGTTTCAGCCTCGAGAACAAGAATAATTATGCTCGACGCAACACATTATAGATCATTTTGGTAAAATAGAGCAGTCTACCGATTTCACACTCCTGAATCGGCGTGCGGCGGTTGGAGAGCTGGAGTGTTTTGGAGAGAGTGTACCGCACGCTCTCTAGATGCGGAGGCGATTAGTTAGTTACTACAGTGGCTTTGCTGCCTATTTTATTTTATTTTTTCCTTTTTGATGAATTTCAATTACGCTTCAACTCTCTGTACACTTTTCGAAAATACAAAATGAAAAGAAAATCCTCTCTATACGCTTATTTGCTCAGATCGGATGTATATAAAACTAGGTAAATAATTTTCCTTGAACAGAACCATATATATATATATATATATATATATATATATATATGTGCGTGTGTGTGTGTGTGTAAAAATAATAATCAGTAGGCTGGTGTTTCTCAGTCCTTTTAATTTACGTTGAGGACTAATCCTCTGCATCTGTGGAGGCAAAAAAACAGCATAGCTTGAAAAGATAGAAAACGAATTTCTTCCTTCACCGGAAAACTTCTCTGTTTTATAGTAAGTAAATTAATCGACGCTTTTTCTGAGCCCGACTGTGCTGCACAGGATGGAGAGAACAAGAAAAGAGAAAATGCTGACTGACTACCAAGCAAGATTTGCTGGGTCAGGTCAGCGCCGCTGCCGGGCACCGCCCACGTCCCACAGCCACCGCAAAGGCGTGGGGTTCAACACTACTCTTTTTTGGGTTCGTAGTGGTTGCTTTATGCAGAGCTGAATTAACCTAAACAAAGGATTTTTAAGCTTTAACCATACGGACGGGATTAGGTGTGCATGGGCTTTGTTTTTTAATTTATTAATCTATTGTAACCCCACCACAAATGAGCTGATGCTCGAGAAATTGGTAGTAACAGTTAATTATATAGAGTTGATAAAAATGTGGAAATTACTTAATCTTTTTTATCCATAGAGCTGATTCAAGAAGTGATAAGAGAAAATTCGAAAATGTTTCTTTCTATCCACCTCGTCGTGTCAACGTGATTTGGCATCATTCATATACCAGCAGCAGGTTGTGTAGGATAAGGGACGGTTCATGGCAAAAAAGCTTGCACCTGACTCTTTTTTATCTTTTGTTGGTTTTTGATTTTTCATCATCTTTTACTTTTTCCTGTTGGAAGCTGGATCTCACTCTACCATATATCACTCAGTCATAGATGGAAACCAATAAAATGAGTTGTCACGAATTTTTTTTTTTTGGGATCCAAGAAATTAATTTTCTTTCTTAAGCAATAGTAATCTACATGCAAAAGTTTCATGGGCTGTCATGTTACATCAATTTAGTTACGTGCTAGTCCAAGAAACTTCATCACGACAAGTGTTAAAAGGATGCTGCTTATATATATATACAGAAGAAAATATATATATATATATATATATATATATAGAGGTAATTAAGGTCTTTTCATATATAGTTAGTTTTCTGTGCTTTCTTGCCGTGTTTTCGTGCTAAAATCTGCAGTAAAATTACAATATGAAGGTTGTAGGTGAAGCTTGGAAATTAACTAGAAACAGGACATGCTGTCTAATTAAGGCCTAAAAAAAAAAAAAACCTAGGAAGGAAGGACTTCTTGATTCTTTTGCAAACGGACATTTGATAGCTAGCCCACCATTTTGCCTTTGCACAGACGAAGCAAATTAGCTAGGCATGTTAATGGTGATTTTGCAGATCGAGTATAAACGTCATCAAATTTGCCCATATACGTACTGCATGATGAGATCGACTTTGAGCAAGGATAGTACGATCGATGCATCTCATCTGGGGTGGTAGATAGAGGTGCAAAAGGGTGGGCAGTCCTGTTGCCCACAGATTTGCTTTTCGCTTGCTCGTAAAAATGTTTTTGACCGCAGCCGTTGGTAAATAAATGGCTATAGATGGTTTTTTTTTTTTTTTTTCTGTGTTTATGAAAATTTCATCTTTAAGCTTTTAGGACCTCAACTTCGTCTCATTATTTGTCCTTGGATTATGACTTCACAGGCAACTCAAGTTATATGATTTCACAGGCAACTAATGTTTGTTGTGTTACTTAGCAGTACTTCGTCAATAGCTCATGCTTCTAGACTGATCAAACTTGTTTCGATTGCATTTTTTTTTTTATAGAAAAATTACTGTAATGATTTGATATATATGAGATAAAAAGGTGATTGAGAAATGTGTTCATCGAAAACCTAGCAATCCAAACAAGATATATTATTGTGTCCATTGTTAAACTTCACTTAATTTGTTGTGTTACTTAGTGTTACTTAGCGTCAATAACTCATGCTTCTAGACTGACCAAAACAAAAACTTTGGCCTTAATTGTTTGGATTGCATTTTTTATAGAAAAATTACCGTAGCGATTTGATATATGTGAGGTAAAAAAGTGATTGAAAAATGTGTTCACGAGAGCGCAGCAATTTTTTTTGAAAAATTGCTGTCCAAACAAGCACTTTATCTTTTAAAGCCAAACAAAAGGAAAAAAAAAAAATGATAAGCCAAACTTTTTAAGAGTAGCTTCAATGAAGTCAAAGCTCAGCAATTTTGGGACCATGTTTCGTTCATACAAGTACAGCGGCGCATCACAGACATGCAACCGTGTGGTTCGTCAAAATGTAAAATGCAATCAAGTCTAGAAGGAATATAGTAAAAAAAACTTCAATATCTATGTAAGTAATTTTACATAGACATCAGAAGATATAATACGAATTAAAAACAGTAAAAGTAAATTTTGTATGTACTGACAATATATATATTATCACGATTGATTGGATTTACGAAATATATGTAAAAGTAAAAATTGAATTTCAAATTCAAATTTTACACAGTTATCGTTCATTTAATTAATACTGACAGTGTATATATACGTTATCAATATATAAAAAATCAATTCAAAAAATAATCTACTGTGCAGGCTCCGGGCAAACGGAGTAAAATGAAGAAAGCAATACAAACAAAAGGAAAAGAAAAGTTGAATAATATGGTACCAATAGTAGTCTATCCTCCAGTTTCATGTGGTACGTTAAAACCTATGAAATCTGAAACCAATTATCTTATCGCCGTTAATTTTATTGACGCTAGGGTAAAAAGCTGACGCCCTACGTGGAGCGACATGCAGTCTTAGGGCTTAGTAGGATTCAAGTAAATACTAAACGACGTTGCCTTTCATAACCGCCCAATCCAGTAGGGTTTGGACTCTTTTCAAAAGAGTGCCTAAGCCACGAACCATAGAAACGCTTAATTAGGTAATGGACCTTAACTTGATCACCAGCCCACCAACTTTTTTTTTTTCTTGCACATAAATTACAGAAATAAAAAAGTAAAATATTATTTGCACTTTCATTTTTTTTTGTTAATTCAGACCTCACTATTATTTTAATCATATAAATTTTTATTTATTAGACGATATGATAAAATGAATAGTGAGAGAGCAAATAATAAAAAATAAAGTGCAAATAACACTTCCCTAAAATAAATACATAAATAAACTTATGGTATTTGGGGACACACTCTTTGACGCATCACCACATGAGATGGCTAATATTTAGAGTCATTTGTCACTTGGATTAAAGAAATGAAAATCTCATGCCAACATTTTAGGACCAATAAAATGTGTATGATTATCAATTTATCACCCAGCAATGTAAAAATTGAAAGACCATGCATTCTTCACCTCATCGACATTTTAGTAACTAACATGAATTTTGTACTAAGTAAATACTATATACATGTATTGTTCCCAGCAAAGGAAGTCGTATTATCAAATTTGCCTAGATTAAACATCTTTCGAGTTTGGAGCATCTTTGGCTTCGAGTCTCACCATGGTCAATAAGGAGACCAATGTAATTTGGTTGACTGAAAAAGACGTAGTCAAGGAAGAGCCAGTTTCACTATTCTCCTCGGTAAAGAATTCTTTACCAGTAGAAACCATATTCCTGTCAAACATTGACCAAGCTCTAGTATTTCCGGTGGAAACCATCTTCTTCTTTGAGGATCCTTCAAACGTTAAGAACCCTTCAAGTACACTTAATGCTGCTGAAAGAGTTAAAGAAGCCGTACAAGTACTTTTGGGTCCATATTATTTCATGGCTGGGAGGCTAAACTTCAATCAAGAAACCAAGAGAGTGGAGCTTTTATGCAATAATGCTGGAGTCTTGTTTGTGAGTGCAACATCTAAACTTACACTGAAAGAGCTTGGGGATCTTTCGCAGCCAAATCCAACATTCCATCATTTGATTCATCGCCCTGGTCTATATAAAGGCCTTCTTGAAACAGCAATATTCACAATCCAGGCAAGTTTTCAATCATTTTTTAATTTAAATGAAGAAACTGAAAAATGGGAAAAACCACCATTTAGTTTTTGTGATTCGTTGTTCTTACGATTATGCAGGTGACAAGATTTGGTTGTGGTGGTTTGTCGCTTGGATTCACCACGAATCATGCTATTCTTGATGGAAAATCAGCAAGTGATATGTTTCACAATCTAGCTTCTATATGTAGAGGTGAAGGTCTGAAGGTAGAAGCAATCAACAATGATAGATCGTGCATTCGAGCAAGAACTCCTCCGCAGATCAGTTATCCGCACAATGAATATGTGAAGTTGGCTAAGACTTCATCTCTTCCCTCATCATTCACCACACAGGACAGAATACATCCTTCTCCGCTTATTTTCTCTGATATATATGTTCACAAGCTCTTCTCTTTTACTCCTGATATGTTAATGTCACTCAAAGAAAAAGCCATGACTAAATGCTCAACTTTTGAAGCTATTGTAGCTCATATTTGGAGAGCAAGAACAAAGGCAATCTTTGAAAAGGATGAAGACGATGAGTTTTCAACTGTTCTCTTTGCTGTGGACATTAGGCCCAAACTTTCACCACCATTGCCAAATGACTTTGCTGGAAATGCAGTTGTCACAGCATTTGCTACTGCAAAAGTGAAAGATTTGGTTGAAATGCCACTGCCCTTTGGTGTTGGGAAGATAAAGGAAGCAATAGAAAGGGTGACAAACGATTATATAAGGTCTGTCATAGATTGGTTGGAGGTAAATAAAGGTATTCCTGCAAGATGTGATGGGAGCTTTTATGTATCAGCTTGGTGGAAATTGCGTTTTAGAGAGCTTGATTTTGGCTTTGGGAGGACTGTTCATGGTGGTCCAATTGTGAGTGGGAATGATGAGTTTGTCCTGCTTTTATCTAATGAAAGTAGTGGAGGAAATGGCGATGGGATTAATGTTTGGATGGGCCTTGAAAAGGAGATTATGCAGAAGTTTGTGTCTTGTGTCTTTGAGATTTAAACCCAATTATATCTAGCTAGTTGGACATCTACAAAAGCACAGTTATTAAATAAATAAAAAAAAAAGTAACTTCTTTCCTCTATTGATCATATGGTGAGAAGATAACTACTAATTCTACATCGACTTTATTTCATTTTGCACCTAAAAGAGCTGACGCAGTTGTAAAACTCGGATTCTTAAGCACAAGCTTTCAACTTTAGGCAAAGTACTTATGTGCAAAGAGCTGATGCAGTTGTAAAACTCGGATTCTTAAGCACAAGCTTTCAACTTTAGGCAAAGTACTTATGTGCAAAGAGCTGATGCAGTTGTAAAACTCGGATTCTTATGCACAAGCTTTCAACTTTAGGCAAAGCACTTATGTGCAAGTTAAAATCTTTTAAGTTCTGTTGTGGCTTCAACACTTTGAAGGACATGGTCAAATTTTGAACGCCTAACCTCTTCCCGTAAGCATCTATATAATTAAATATGGACGTAAAAAGTCACGAAATGCTAAGATATAATTTGAAAGAATATTCAGTAGTTTCATGACAAATGGTAGGAGAGGAGGAAATCAAGAAAAATTTTATTGAGGCCGCTGGACCATCAAGAACCACAAAACGGCCACTTTGATCATCTCACAAATTAATGAACAAAGAAGACAAAAGTAAGTATTAATGAGCAAGTTGAGATTACTAGCATGTGACGTGAATATAATTAAGTTAAAGTCACAGCAGGATTAGGGGTGATGTCTACAATTTGAATATATAGTTCAAGTTGGCAAGTTGAGCTAATCCGGCAGAAAATTAACAGGAGTTGAAGTTGCTCAGAGGGTGACAAAGAGATCATCATCACTCTTATATTTTGGTTTAACTCTGTCCCTTGAATTTAGACGCACACAGAGAAGAGTTAGGATAGCACACAGTCGACCGGCCTCCACCAAGTTTTCAAGTTTTCCACTGGAAGAGTTAGGTATACTTCATCTGCATCTTTTTTTTTTTTTTTTTTTGGTAAAGATTTCAACGTTTTTTCCTTGTTCAAGTTTGTTACAAATTCTTCAATAAATCTTGCTTGTGCGTCTCTTACATGCTCTAACTAGTTCTTGGATCTTACAATCAAATGATATTTGGAAGGAATTATGAAGATGAATGCTGTTTTCTGGCTGATAAAATTTGATCTCTGTGTCTTCTTTTATCTTGGTTAAAGAAAAACTGATCAAATTCAACTTTGATAATGTATTCTTCCTTGCACTAATGAAGATGACTTGGGCATTCCAAATTAGAACCGTTTGGTTTGCTGGCATCTGAAGAATTGGTCAAAACCCTAAAGTACCAAAGTCCATCTTTTGGGATCCGGATTAGAAGCCATGAAGGGAATAAGGTTGGGTGGCGGAATCTTTTCAAAAATAGAAATGCAATTGGACCACCGAATATCCTTAAGATGCTAAATTAGAAGGGCTGTCCCACAATTTATTCCTGTTGATGGGGCTTGATTAATTCCGTGTTTGTAAACTAACTAATTAAATAAACTTTTGATCTACATCATTTGACCCTCTAACAAGGAAGAAGCAGATGATTGATTAAAAAGACAAAACACAGACAGATAATGAACATTTTCTCTAATTAAGGTACGTAGGAACTTCTTAGTCGGTCAAAACTCAGGAGGGTTAAAATTAATCAAGGAACTTCTGACATCCAAGTCATTGTAATCTTCTTAATCTAAACATGCTTTAGAGGCAACCTCATTGAGAAACATAAGTATGTCCTTGTCTTTTTAACCTTTTTCCAATGAATATAGCAAGTTTTCAGGCAATGGGATTAGTTAGTCCGACAACATTGGGGCGCGCATCTGGATTAATTGTATGGCCAAAATTAGTATTTTTTCAACAGTGAATATTCTCTACTTGCGTTAAAGATAGGATTTCATATTCTTGAAAGCACCCGCACCCTCTAGCTAGATGTTATTGGTTTTCTTTTAATTAAAGATATTAATATTTGTGCCTAATCTTGGAGTTCAAAATGCGATGGAGATGAGTAATTAATTAAGCTAATATATATATATTTGTGAATGATTAAAACAATATTTGCCATAAGTTAATACGAATTTTGGATTGAGGCAGTCGGGAGGAGATACAATGAAAAAATAAAATTTAGTTTGAAATCATCTTCAAGTTTGAAGTTTGATGTTGTATGGTTGTAAACGCCATCCTTAAAATCTATCTAATACGTACTTCGTCATTCATGAAGAAAAGAAAACAAAAAGAAACTATTAATTAGGTCGCCCATGCACGTACCTACATTGCCTAAGTGACATTGAGTTTGCACCTCTCCAAAAATCTTGCTATTAATTACGTACTGGTTGCATATATGCTCAATTCTTTCTCTCCTTTACTTCTCTTTGGACACTTATATTTGGTTCTTTCATATTGCTCGCTTACAACACGTCTCATCTGATCAAGAACTACAGCATTCAAAACTCCAAAAAGAGTGACGACTAGACGAATAATCCTCATTTACACATTCAAACATCTAGATCTTGTCGTTGACCAGCTAGAATAGCTTTATTTGATTTCTTTCTTTATTTACACATTATGGTACTGGAATATCCGAATAGATTATATTATTGCTTGAAGCAAGCCTGCTGTTGACAATAGTAAAAACCTTGACTAGCATATTCTGTTTGGATTGCATTTTCCATGATTTTTCATAGAAAAATTACTGTAGCGATTTGATGTATGTGAGGGAAAAAAGTAATAGGGAAATGTAATCACGGAAAACGACATAATTTTTTGGGGGGGAAAACAGCAATCCAAACAAGGCACGGAAAGAAATTTGTGAGGGGAGATAAACTATGCCATACAGCTGAAAATTACCTACAAAACAAGTATTATGATTCCTGCAAATGCAGAGCTTCAAACATTGTGCAGTTGACGCCAATTGCTTACTTATTTTTAAATATTGCACGGCCTGCAGATCTTTTAAAAGCATAGCTATTTCATCCTTCTGCTATGCTAAGTCCAAATAAGTGAACGACTGTAGGCAAAGCGAAGAACGATGAAATTCTTTCTCCTTTCTCTTATGTTCTCCTCTCAAAAAGTAGAGAAATTCTAAGAGATGTTCAAAATTGGCTATAACTTACGATGCGACCTATGAACTTCCTCCGTGATCTCCCGACTAAAAATCATTAGAATAAGGATAAGAGAGGAGAGTTTTTGTCCCCCTTCCGAAGCTAGATAAATTGGTGCCACTGCCATGGTCAACCTACTTAGCTGTTTGCAGCTAACTCTCTGTTCCGAGATCCTTGGAGCTCATATTATAACCACCCTCCTGTCCTTCCTACACTTCGTACTGAAAAACGCTGTGAATAAAACAACAAGCAATAGCAAAATTCAGACAAAGAAATGGATGCTTTCGCATAGAATGATGTAAGCTTGTCCCAGATATAATATTAATTAGTTAGGCCATTTTCAAGGAGTCCTAGCGGCTGATGCCTCTCAACTAACATTTTTTCTATATCTTTTCATAATGCAATCATTCCTAACTATTCTCCTTCAACACATTTTAAATTTTCGATAGGCTTGCCAATTAGGCTGTTCTGTTGTCGAGCCTATAGACAAACTGGGATGCATATGTAGACGAAGCTCTGGCATGCCAACATTTCTAGTACATTAACCTTGCTGTGCCAGCATAGATTACTGTACTGGAAGATGAACCCAAAAAACATGGGATTTCTTTACAGAGTTCTCCAATAAATTTGGTTAAGACCCCACGATTGATGCCGACCTGGTCGGCACTGCCACATGCCCAATTGCCATATTGGACCTCAAAAGACACATGTGCCATGACATACTTGCTTTCATGTAGAGACATATGCATGTATATATGGTAGGCTGAAAAAAACTATTGTGAAAACCCCGTACGAACACAAAATTTTTAAGGATATAAAAACCTAAGGTTTTTTTTTTTGGAGCTAAAAAAAACCTAAAGTTGATTTGGAGAATGGTGATTAAGTGCAGCTTAGCTGCACGCTTAGCTAAAATATTTTAAACGGTTGAGATTGATTGTATGTCTCTCTTGCCCATCATTTGTCGTGTATATTTTACGAATGACTGTATAAGCATGAAATTGTTTTGAACAGTTGTAAGTGACAAAGTTTAGATCCATGCTCCTGCACACAAGGTTTGTACTTTGTATCCTAACTCTTTGCCTTGTATATATGTCCTAGCGCTTTGACCCGAAAAATAGATTTCCATTTTGGACAGGACAGAGGGTTCATAAGTTTCTCCTGCAGATATGGTTGATAACCTGGGAGCTAGTGCCTCAAGTGAGGAAGGGGGCATCAAAGAACAAGACCGGTTGTTGCCAATCGCCAACGTTGGCCGAATCATGAAGCAAATTTTGCCACCAAACGCCAAAATCTCAAAGGAAGCTAAGGAAACAATGCAAGAATGTGTTTCAGAGTTCATTGGCTTCGTGACCAGTGAAGCATCTGAGAAGTGCCGGAAGGAGAGAAGGAAAACCGTGAATGGAGATGATATTTGCTGGTCTTTAGGAACGCTAGGCTTTGATGACTATGCCGGACCTCTGAAGAGGTACTTGGATAGGTATAGAGAGCTTGAAGGTGATAGATCAGGTAATCAAGATAAAGTTAGCAACAGTGCTGAAGAAATGGAAGAGCCATCTTCATACAGGAGCAATATCGTTCAACCAAGAAACCAAGCCGAACCCTCATATAGGAGGAATTAATAGCTCTACATCGAAGTCCTATTTATGGCTTCATCGAGACAAATTTGAAGAAACATCGACATTTTCAGATCTCATTGTTAGGTTTTAATATGAGAATCTTTGAGGAAACAGTTTTATGGTTTTCGTAAGCCGTCTTTTCTTACATAAACTCTGCTCGTTGTCTGAGCTCGTGAATGTGTTAGCTTCGATTTACAGTGATGAAAAAGCTGTTTCTTGAGTGAAATTTTGTAGAAGAAACTTGAGCAAATGAATTTGGACCTTTGAAGTTTTCTCATAAAT